CTGCTTTTCTTCATGTAAGCTGTATTCTCAGGCCAGGCTTTCCCAAGTGGAACAAGACAGCCACCAATCGCTCTGGACATTTATTCTGCCTAATTAGTACCCAAAGGAGAGTTTATCTTTCCCAGGAGTTCCAGCAAAAGTCCTAAGTCTGAGACTCATTGGTCAGACTTGGGTCATGTGTCCACACCAGAATCTATCATTTGGCCAAAAAGATGGAATGCTATGATTGACCAGGTCTGGGTCTGGGGCCCACCCTCAATTGGAAGTCAGCCCACTGGAAATTTACAAAGACTGATGAACAGGGAGTTCCCCAAAAGAAAATCAATGGGGAATGAACACTGGGTACACAGAGCAGATGTCACTGGAATCATGCTATAAACTGACCTGTCTGGGGTCTATCCTACTAACTTATCATACATGTTTAGATATGCCTGAATCCTAGTGGTAGACATACCTAGCCTGAAGCCAAGACCCCTGCTATGTGTGATAAATTAATTTATGAGATTCTAGAAGTTAATATCCAAGACTCTATCCTGTTACTCTTCCTAAGGAGGGTTTGTAATTGAACATGAACAAATCCTTAGTCCAAGAATTTTTGCCCTGATAGTTGAATTACAGGCTTTCATAGCAGGACAGTGGAGAAAATATTTTTTAATTCAAGAGGCCTTTTGGAGGGACTTCCCTGTTGCCCCATTGGCTCAGACCCCATGCTCCCAATGTAGGGGGCCTGGGTTCGGTCTCTGGTAAGGGAATTAGATCCCACATGCTGCAATTAAGAGTTCTCATGTCACAGTTAAAGATCCCACATGTTGCAACTAAGACCTAGTGCAGCCAAATAAACATTAAAAAGAGGTCTTCTAGAGACTGATGCGAAGTAAATAGTTACACATCCTATAGTTACACATATAGGATCTGAATGCCTTTGACATCAGTTCATAGTATTTTATCCATGCCAAGGTTGAGTGGAGTCAGGTGGGGGAGGTGGTAGAGGACCCGGGAGTTACAGACAAGGTGCCTGGATGGAGGGGAGAGACCTGGCTATAGCAGCACAATATAGCTCTTCTCTGAGATTCCCCTCTCTCTCCTTTTCTCCCCGCCCCTTTCCTTATTCCTTTGTTGCCATGGCAACTGATGATGTGCCCTCCTCCTCTTCCCCTCTCTGGCTGGATCCGGTCCCCAGGCTCCATCTCGCTGTCTCACCAATCTCACAGGGCTGCTGCCAGCCTCTCTCCACATCCCTCAGTGAGGGCACCCAGCTTTGCCCTCTGCCTGCAATGCACTCTCTTGCCTCATTTCTCCACCCCAGGCCCCTGCCTTGCCCTTTCTTTAATCCTGACCCAGGCTTGAGTCAAATCCCCATTTTCCTTCAAGTTGTATGAAAATTATATTTTTCCCATTCTAACTTGATTTGAAATGCATAAAGAGCTCTGTCTCTTGAAACACCTCAAGGTGAGGTAATTTGTGAAGGGAAGAAACATCCTTTGCTGCTGCTTCTCTGCTTAATGCAGGGCTAGAGTGAATCACATTCTATTTTTGTAACTAGGAGTATTTTTTGTTTAAAGAATTCCCCCAGCACGTCTCTGAGTGAAACAGAAGACTGTATCATAAAGGAAATCACATCTCAAGTTCAAAGGTTGTGAGTTGGTGGGCCTGCAGACTTTTGTTAGGTCCATAGAGTGCCTAAAAAGATAGTCAACAGTTAAAAATCAGCAGGTATCACTTAAAAAGACTGGATTCCTGGCTGCCCTTGAACTAGACACAGGGTGAAAATGGGCAGGAGGTGGGGGGTGGGGGGGGGGTGCTGCCTCTTTTACACTGATTCTTCCTTTCTTGTTAGCTCCACCTGGCCAGCTCCCCTCTTTCACCTGCCCCACCAAAGCCAGTGAGTGAGGCCTGACATACTTGTCCCCTCCACAACCTTTAGTGGGGGGAAGGGAGAGAATGGGTGGAATAAAAGGGCAGATTTTTCAGTTGAGTACCTTTGAAGCCGTTATCCCTAGGTGTGCACAATATAGAGAGATACAGCGGCCCTCACAATAGCATTTGAAATACAGTAACATCACTCTTCACATTTATTATCAAAGCAGCTCTGAATCTCATTGACATCCAAAAAGATGAGATAGATTTCTCCGCATTCTTTAAAGCAACTTTCAGCTCCATGCTCCACTTGGTCCCTGCTAGGCTTCCAGCTCAGGAAGCTCAGGCAATTCCTGAACCTGTCTGAGTCTCATTCTCATTGGCAGAGTGAGGATGGTTATAGTACTATCTCACGAGGTGGCCATGGGATGAGATGAGTTGACATGAAGTGTGTTGGATGGGGCAGAATACACAGTAGCTACTGGGTTAAGTGCGTGAGCCCTTCCCTCCTCTCCGGGACATCTTCACAGAAGGCTTGAGCTCGGAGTCCTCTCTCAGGCTGTCGACTGCATCCTTTTGTTCATCGACTTGTTCACTCATTTGCTCCTCAAGCATTGACTGAAGCCCCTGCAGTAGGGTGGTGCCTGCAGCACACAATTAGCTGGTCCAGCTGGGAGGAGAGTGGCTCCATGGTAGAGAATGTCTGACATACGTCCTACCTAGGGGTGGGGGAAGCTCCCAAGGACACTCCACCTCCCTCCTGCAGACCCCCACCTTCTCAACCAAGGGTTGCCTTGCTCAGCACTTTCTGCATGGCTTTCCGGTGGCTCTCTTCCAAGACCTGCTTTCTGCCCCAGGACCTTACAAAGCCTCCTTTTATGCAAAGTTTGAGGCAAAGTGACTGTGTCATTTGATACAAATGAGGCTCATGAGGGTAAAAAGTGTAGCTTTATTCTTTTATTTGGGGATTTTCTAGCCCAGAGAAAAGCTAGTTGCTGAATGGGGCCGGTGAGGAAGCCAGGAGGGAGAGGAAACGCCAAGAATTGGGGAACTCAGTGCTTGTGTTAGCCCTGAGATAAGCAGCTGCAAGCCCAGGGCGTGACCTGCACGCCAAGAGGTGTCTCCCACTCAGCCAGACTCTGCTTCCAGAGCTGGTGGGTGTATGAGCTGCCCCCCACCCCCACCCCGGACATTGCCTGTGTGGGGACCTTTCCTCTCCCTAGACCACCAGACTCAGCATTCTCGGCAGTTGGGTCTGCTCCCGTGGTCCCTACCCCCTTTCAAAATGCATAGCACCTGTTCCTCTTCCTCTGGCTGATGGGGTGTCAGGGATCAGAGGGGGATTTCAGAGGATCCACAAAAGCTCCCTACCCCAGAAGGTCTCCCACACTCACTCGAGGGCCAGGCTCATGGGTGGACCACTACAGCACTGCGTGGCGGGGGTGGGGGGGGGCGCGCATATAGCCTGCACTTAGCCAGACCCCACAGTTGGTTCCAGGATCCTCTGTCCCCACCTTGAAATCCTCAGTGGTTCTTGAACAAGGGACCCTCATTGTCCTTCTGCACTGGGCCCCGAAGATCCTGGAGCTGAGTTCTGATTGCTCCACATCTCTCGTTTCTTAAAGTCAGGTCTCTGACCCCTACATTCTCTGCCCTTCTCTTACTAACACCTCTCATTTGTAGAGCTGAGCCTGCACCCTCTTATCACATTGTCACCTTTAGTTCCTAAATCACTGACTCTTGGCAGAGGCTTTTGGGGGATTTGTCTCCTGACTCCAAGCCACACCTTTGATGCCACCCCTTTGTTCTAGAGGAACCAAAATGCTTGCCTCCTAACCCTCTCCATGATCCCCTCTTTCTTAAAGTATAGGAAATTTGCAAGTCCAAAGTTCTTAAAGAGCAGCAGACCTAGCCCTCTGAGGGTGCTTAATAAATACCAACTAATGAACCTGCAGCTGCTGCTCCTTCGGCTAATTAAATCTAAATGAGTCACAGGCTTTAAATTATGCAACAAGGCTTGGCCAAAACAGCTTAAAATTGCGGGAGTCCCAGCTTTTCTTCTGTGCCCTGTGGAAAAAAAATCCCGTCTTTTAATCATGCTTAACCTTCCTGAAAGAACAGTGGCAACCTTTAAATAATGAATGAATGTATATTAGCAAGATTTTTCCCCAAGCTACAACAGAGCCAGATCATAAAAGGGACAGAGGCAGAGACAGGCCTGGGGGGATTCCGGAAGTTTCTGGTGAATCGCGGAGTGCTGGGAGCAATTATTTGGTTGCTCAGAAGCCCAGAGCAAGGACTGGTGAAGAGCATGGAGGGGAGGGGCAGAAGTATGGCCACTCAGCCTGTGCTTGCCAGCTGTGAGGGGGGCTTCCACACCCTCCTAGGGGCTGCACGCTTGGTTATCCTCTCTCCTTTCCTTTCTGTCTTGCCTCTACACCCCCCCCACCCCCGACTCTCCCCTTGCCCCTAGCTCAAGACCCTCCAGGCTGAGAGCACTGTCTTTGCAACTGAACAAAGGTTGAATCACCTCACCTAGAGCAGCGCTTTTGTGACGTCCACGTGTACAAGAGTCATTGAGAATATTGTCAAAAACAAATGATCAGTGGGTCCAGAGTGGGGCCTGGGATGCTGCATTTCTAAGATACCTGGAACTGCTGGTCCTCAGATCATGTGTTGAGTCACAAGTAGTTTTTGTAATGAAGCTGAAAATGTTACAATCAACTGGGGCAGTGTTCAAGTTACCAAATTCTCTGGACATGATCTCAGATCAATTAAATTGGAATTTCTGAAATCAGACCCAAGGCTCTTTGGTCCCATTCTCTCCACACCCCCCCTCCCCGACCTTTTTCTTTTCTTTTTTTTTTTTAAACCTGAGCGCCTAGGTAATTGGTAGGTCACCCAAATGAAGCCTAGAAAGCTTAACCAACTTGCTTGCCATCGCCTGTTGAAGTGGGATTAGAAACTGAGATGGCAGGGAATTTGGAAGCCAAGCCTGCTCCTTCTTCCCTCCTTGCAGATCTGAGCATTTCCAGGATCCTAGCCTGTCCCTGGGCTCAGGGTTGCAACCTCTGTGATTCCACTGTGACAGCAGGCAAGATTCTTCTATCTTTCTCTTCCTAAGACTGCTTGAAACTTTATTATTAGTGCTTAATTGCTTGGGCTATAGTGGAGTGTACTGTGTAGGATTTGTTTGGGTTCTATTCTGTGGGATCTGGGACTCAGGAAGGGGAGGGATTCTAGGGGCAGACTGGCCTCCTCCTGCAGCCTAGCACCAAGGGGTGTGCCCCCAGGCAAGGCTGAGGCCCTTGTTGTGTAAGATCCCGGAGCCTCACGCAGAGGTCAAAAGGATGAAGGCAGAGCTGTTCCAGTCCTGCACTGGGAGAAAACTGTGACCTTCTTGCTGTGGTATGTGAGTGAGGCCTTTAAGGCAGAAGTGCAGCCATGCGCCAGGCCCAGCTTAGCCATAGCTGTGCTCCACCCATTGTCTCAACCCAGACAGGACTCTGATGCTGGCTCAGCACTGAGGCAGGGAGTGGGAGCTGGGCCTAAGAAAGCAGCAAGGTACTGTAGATACAGTTATTTGTTTATTCAATATCTGCCCCTCTCTTTCTTCTCCTCCCCATACTATCAAAATCTTAATTTTGTTCAAGGCTGCAACAGTGTCCAGGCAAAAAACTTACTATACTAAAGATGTCCTGAAGTTAGGAGCAGCAACATGACCAGTCTGACCCATGAGATGCAAGCAGAAGTCTCTAAGTGGATCTTTCTGGAAAGCTTTTCAGAGGTGGCTTCATTTCTTTTCCCCCTTTGCTGAACAGTAGTTGATACCTGGAGCCACGGCAGGCATATTGATATTATGAGGCTAAAAACCATGAAGTGAGCAGGATAAAAGTCATATGCTAAGGATGGTGGAATGAAAAGAAGGGTCTTTTATGACTGGGTTCTCTATGACTTCCTAGAGAAATTTCACCATCACGGATTGCCTTACCAGGGATTTCTTAGTGTCTGAGACATGTAAACTCCTACTTTGTTAAGCCACTGTGACTGGGTTTTTTTTACAGCTAAATGCAATCCTCACATGGGGATGTTAGAATGAATGTTCCTAGACTGGAAATGGGAAGAGAAGGTCAAGGTAAGAACATGGTCCCCAGGAGAGGGGATGGGTGAAGAATTTCCCCCTTTTGGGGGAGGGTCACTATTGTTGTTATTCATTCACTAGGTAGTATCTGACTCTTTGTGATCCCATGGACAAGCTCCTCTATCCTCTGCTATGTCCTGGAGTTTACTCAAATTCATGTTCATTGAGTCAGTGATGCTATCTAACCATCTCATCCTCTGCCACCCACTTCTCCTTTTGCCTTCAGTCTTTCCCAGCATCAGAGGCTTTTCCACAGAGGTGTTTCTTCTCATCAGGTGGCCAAAGTATTGGAGTTTCAGTGGCTGTCCTTCCAATGAATATTCAGGGTTGATTTCCTTTAGGATTGATTGATTTGATCTCTTTACAGTCCAAGGGACTCTCAAGAATCTTCTCCAGCACTACAATTTGAAAGCATCAATTCTTCATCGCTCAGCCTTCTTTATAGTCCAACTCTCACAACTGTACATGACTACTGGAAAAATCATAGCTTTGACTATACAGACCTTTGTTGGCAAAGTGATGTCTCTGCTTTTTAATACACTGTCTAGGTTTGTCATAGCTTACTTCCAAGGAGCAAGCATCTTTTAATTTCATGGCTGCAGTCATTGTCCACAGTGATTTTGGAGCCCAAGAAAATGAAATCTGTCACTGCTTCAACTTTTTGCCCTTCTGTTTGCCATAAAGTGATGGGACCAGATGCTATGATCTCACTTTTTTAAATGCTGAGTTTCAAGCCAGCTTTTTTCATTCTCCTCTTTCACCCTCATCAAGAGGCTCTTTAGTTCTTTGCTTTCTGCCTTTAGAGTACTATTATCTGCATATCTGAGGGTGTTGATGTTTCTCCCAGCAGATTTGATTCCAGTTTGTGATTCATTCAGCCTGGCATGTCACATGATGTACTCTGCATATAAGTTAAATAAGCAAGGTGATAATATACAGCCTTTTCCAGTTTTGAACCAGTCTATCGTTTCATGTCTGGTTCTAACTTTTGCTTCTTGACCAGCATACAGATTTCTCAGGAGACAGGTGAGGTGGTCTGGTACTTCTATTTCTTTAAGAATTTTCCACAGTTCATTGTGATCCACACAGTCAAAGGCTTTAGCATAGTCAATGAAGAAGTAAATGTTTTTCTAGAATTCCCTCGCTTTCTCCATGATCCAATGAATGTTGGCGATTTGATCTCCAGTTTCTCTGACTTTTCCAAGTCCAACTTGTACATCTGGAAGTTCTTGGTTCATGTACTGCTGAAACCTAGCTTGAAGGATTTTGAGCATGTGAAATAAATGCAACAGCACAGTAGTTTGAACATTTCTTACTTCCTAGGAGATTAAGTTCACATTCCTCAGACCAACATTCAAAACTATAAAATTTGGTTCCAAATCACTTTTCCAGGTCTGTTATTATTCACCAGAGCGAGGATGAGCCTACTCCTTTCTTTGAATTAAGATCCCACACTGGTCTGAATTCAGGTGAGTTTTCCCTGCTCCTTTCTACCTGTCCCAGGCTTACCGGCCCCTGTGAGTTGCTCTTTTGAGAAGACTTCCGATCATCCTGTACTCCAGGGCCCTCTCATTTAATCTCCTTCATCACTGAGGTCTATGTGCCTGATAGTTTCTTTACACTTTAGTGTGTATCAGCTGCATCTCCCCAGCAAGGCTGTGAAATCCTCCAAGGCAGGATTTTAGGAGTGTGTAAGTGTATAAAGATCATGTGTTTTGGAGTCAGACCTGAGATCTCAGATGGTTTGGGCGCATCATTTAACCTCTCTGAGCCTCAGTATCCTCGTCTGTGAAATGGGGATGATATACATGTCTACCTCCCAGGCCTCCATAAAGCATGTAACCAAGTACCAGGCACATTGGAGATGCTCCGTAAGGGCTTGTGTGTTGCCTTGTTGCCTGCTTGGTAACTCTAGGCTGTGCCTTTTTCTATCCCTTTCATCTCTCTTTGTTTTTCTCTCTCGCTTCCTTCTGATTTCCCTTTCAAGTTTGGGGAGTGACCATGAGTTGCTCTCATTTTTACTGAAGGCACATCTTCTCTTACTGCTCCGGTCTTCTATCAGAGTAGGAGGAGGGACAGAAGGGAGATTTCATGCCCATTGCTAAGGGGGTGAGAAGAGATGCTAACAACTGAAAGTTTACTCAGTCTTTCTCTAAAGATTTATAAGGAAAATGGGTGTATTTAATCTAGTTTTACCTGGCAACAGGCCGATTAAATAAATGGTATTATAGCACTTGTTTTTTTTCAAACTCTCAATTCTATTTGCTCTAGCAGATTAAACATCTGGACCTTAATCTTTTTGATATCCTGATCTTCTCCTTCAGTTCAGTTCAGTTCAGTCACTCAGTCATGTCCCACTCTTTGTGACCTCATGGACTGCAACATGCCAGGCTTCCCTGTCCTTCACCATCTCCCGGAGCTTGCTCAAACTCATGTCCATCAAGTTGGTGAAGCCATCCAACCATCTCATCCTCTGTCATCCCCTTTTCCTCCTGCCTTCAATCTTTCTCAGCATCAGGGTCTTTTCTAATGAGTCAGTTCTTCACATCAGGTGGCCAAAGTATTGGAGTTTCAGCTTCAACATCAGTCCCTCCAATGAACATTCATGACTGATTTCCTTTAGGACTGACTGATCTCCTTGCAGTCCAAGGGACTCTCAAGAGTCTTCTACAACGCCATAGTTCAAAAGCATCAATTCTTCGGTGCTCAGCTTTCTTTGTAGTCCAACTCTCACATCCATACATGACTAGTGGAAAAACCATAGCTTTGACTAGATGGACCTTTGCCGGCAAAATAATGTCTCTTCTTTTTAATATGCTGTCTCGGTTTGTCATAGCTTTTCTTCCAAGGAGCAAACGTCTTTTAATTTCATGGCTGCAGTCACCATCTGCAGTGATTTTGGAGCCCCCCCCAAATAAACTCTGCCACTGTTTCCACTGTTTCCCCATCTATTTGCCATGAAGTGATGGGACCAGATGCCACGATCTTAGTTTTGTGAATGTTGAGTTTTAAGCCAGCTTTTTCACTTTCTTCTTTCACCTTCATCAAGAGGCTCTTCTTTAGTTCTTCTTCACTTTTTGCCATTAGGGTGGTGTCATCTGCATATCTGAGGTTATTGATATTTCTCCTGGCAATATTGATTCCAGCTTGTGCTTCATTCACAGCCCAGCATTTCTCATGATGTACTCTGCACATAAGTTAAATTAGCAGGGTGATAATATACAGCCTTGACGTACTCCTTTTCCTATTTGCAACCAGTGTGCTGTTCCATGTCCAGGTTCTAATGTTGCTTCTTGACCTGTATACAGATTTCTCAGAAGGCAGGTAACATGGTCTGGTATTCCCATCTCTTTAAGAATTTTCCACAGTTTGTTGTGATCCACACAGTCAAAGGCTTTAGTATAGTCAATAAAGCAAGATTTTCTCCTTCTTTTGCCTCAATCCTTGCCCCCCAGAAACCCAGATCAAATTAAGAGATTGTGAGAAGTGACCCATAGCGAAAAAATTCTATTGAAAGTTTAATGAGAAATGACAGTTTTATTACCTTCAAGTAAATACCTGCCACAGGCAGCTATAAATGGGAATGGACACATTGAACTGGGTAGAAAGTAAGAAGTCACTGTGGACTGAAGAGCATAATGTGTCCTGACATCGAATCCCAGAGTGGTCTTCTCTTTTCATGTCTTTTCACTCAGCATCACTCAGAGAGCCCAACAAGACAGAAACGTATTCTTTTGTTCCTCTTAAAGCAGAGCCTCATGTCCAGGAAGAGGAGGGGTCAAAAAAAGAAAAAGACTTGACTGATTGCAGAGCTGTGTCCATTCAGCTTGCTGTGGTATTCTTGGAGTCTCCTGCACTGGCCATCATTCTCAGATGGGGCTGGTGGGGTCGGGCAGCTGACAACCTTCTGTGTGGGGGGGGATGGGGTGGCGGGGTAGGAGATATGGGAGTTGAACACACACACACACTGGGCCACTTCATTTGTGCCCTCTGTGAGCCCTCTAGTGCCCAGAGTCTGTTCCTTTTAGTCGTTGCTGCCTGCTTATCTGTGTACCTGTCTATTGTAGACCGCTATTAGCTGGGGGTGTGTGTGTGTGTGTGTGTGTGTGTGTGTGTGTGATTTGAGGGTTGGGCGGTGTGGCCTGTTTGGTTTTGTCCCCTCTCCTTCTACTTTTCCACGAGAGCAGCATTGCTGACTTGTTGTGGATCTGATCAGACATCAGCGCCTCCTTCCCAAGGCCCCTAGGAGTATGCCCAGATTCTGCCCCCACCTCACCCAGGCCTGTACTGCCCAATGATCAGGCTCCCTGGAGCTTCAGCATCTCTGTTCTTGGATCGCATGTGGCTGAGGGCAGGCTCTGGGCCTGTGTGATGGACTGTGTGCAGTCCTGCTCAGGCCAGGGTTAAATGGGCCAATGGCATGGTGATGCCATCTTGACATGTCTGCAGAGCTGGAAGGAGTTTACAGAGTTTTGGCTCTTGTATTAGTTTCCTGTGTTAGTTTTGCTGCTGTCATAAATTATTACAAATGTAGTGGCTTAAAGCAACTCATTTATTCTCTTACAGTTCTGGAGGTCAGGAATTTAAAATGGCTTTGGCAGGGCTGCATTTTTTCTGGTGACTCTAGGGAAGAGTCCGTGTTCTTGCCTTTTCTGACTTCTATAGGCTGCCTGCATTTCTTGGCTTGTGGTCCCACATTACGCCCCACTCTGCTCCCATGGCCACGTGTTCTCTGCCTCTCACCCTCCTGCCTCCCTCTTATAGGAACCCTTTTGATTACACTGTGCTTATCTGGATAATCCAGGGTCACTTCTTCATTTCAAGGCCTTAATTTAATCCCAAAGTCTTTTTTTTTTTTTAATCACAGAAGGTAACATATGGGAACTGGGATGTGGATGTCTTTGGGGAACCTCCCTCAGCTCCCCACACCTCAGACAAGATCTGTCTAAATGAGCAGATTCAGTGGATTCCAAGTCAGACCAGTCATGGTATAATTTCTGTGATTCTGGAAAGGCTTTCTAAACCCCTTCTCCCTACAGATGCCTCCTTAACCTACTACCTTCTGAAATCCTCCTCTTGGGAAACAAAGTGTCTTCACCCACAGTTCTCGAGAACTCGGGCTCAGTACAAGGCCTAAACACGTTTCTTCACACTAAGGTGTAAATGTTTGACAGCAAACCTTTCCTGACAGCAAGTTCTGACTGGGGGAGGGGGGCACAGGTGAGGGAAGGAGGTGCCCAGTGATGGAGAGAGCGCGAAGGCACTTGGAAGTATGACCATAAAGTTTTAATCAAACAGAGCAAAATGGCCACAATGCAGAACAGGTAGTGCTTGGAGAAGAGAAAGAAGATCATCTCCTTGGTGACGTAGATTACGTGTATGAAGATGAAGCAGTGCAGGAACATGGCGAACTGGTTCCGGGGAAGCAGGAGGTCCTGGAGGCCTCCCGAGAACTGTGGGGAAAGAAGAGAGTGGCAGCGACCACGCGGGGCCCGGGCACCAGGCAGACCTGGGCTTCCTTCCTGCTCTTGTCCCTTCTGGAATGTGACCTCAGGCAGGCTGTCTTCCTCACCCATGGTGAGGGTAATTGTGCCCACCTCACAAGATGGTGAGGAGGAAGCGTGAGACAAGAATGAAAAATTCCAGGCAAGGCTACTGGCACAGAGGGGTCTCATCATTTTCACTTCTTGGGCCTGGCCTTCGCCCTCCTGAGCCTGGCCTTCGCCCTCCTTTCTCTGGACGCTCCATGCAGCCTGTGGGCCCCACATGTGGGCAGTCTCTCTCCTACTCAGAGATCCCCAGGTCTGGACACTGGATCTTGGGTTAGTTCCCTAGATGGTCTCCCCTGACACCCCACCATTTTTGCTGGATGGTGGCCCAATGAGAGGGCATCTCTTGGGCACAAATGCCTGTATCTGATTTTCTGGATGCTGGCATGTGTCACATCGGGACAGGCTGCGATCCTTCAACCCAGGGTGTGTCTCTCCTGTGGACAGGTAGTAGACAGGTGATGGGGCCTCCCTAAACCCTCAGGGTCTTGGGTGTGGGGGAGGGTCAGTTTCTGCCTGTGTGTTGCTCTTTTCCAGGATCTATATGATTAAGGTCAAACAGATCCCCAATTAAACTGTAGAAAGCATTAACATATAAGTGGAGTAAAAGCTGATGTAACTATTATGATCTGCAGTTAAGAAGGCATCACACCTATGGTTCATTCTTTAAAATATCTTTTCAACTCATGCCATATTTTTTGTAAGCAGGGTTGGTGATGCTCTGAATTCACTAGAAACATATTCAGAGGTATTTTTCAATATAATAACAACTGTCTACCTACTCACCCACCCACCCAGAAAAAGAGAGTTGGGAATTTAAAAATCAACTCAACTCCTCACGGAAATGCACAGGAAGTAAAATGCTTTTGTAAAATATTGTTAAAGGTGGGGTTTTGGACACAATACTGTTGAAACAACTACATAAAATGTGAGGGCAATTAAATAAAACTGAGGAGGGCAGAAAATGACTCCAGTAAAGCTGACTCTAAAATGAATGGCAAGGAAGGCAGAAGACCAGAGGAAGAAACCCGGTGTTCTGGGGTGGGACTGGAGGGCTGGACAGATACTGTGTTTCTCTGCAGACCAGGTGTGGCTCTGTATCTACAGACTCTTTGCCACTGTTGGTGGTCTGCACTCTAATGACTGACATTTGTGATTTTGATAACAAACTGTGCATTTGTGAAATCTTTTAGACTTTTCAAAACACTTCAATGGTCTCTTTTTTTTAAGTTAAGACAGAGAGCAGATAGGACTATAAAGATTTCCATCTCCTCCAGCAAGGAGAATGATTTTCAGACTAAAAAGCAAGTATTTCATGAACAAGAAAAACAAAAGATAATTGTTAACAAGCCAGCGTGTGTTCATTGAGAGCAAATCATGCAAAGCCAACCTAATTTTCTTTAAAAAGAACATGGACCAGACAGTTGGGGAAATGCTATCATGTAATATCTTAATTCTGGGAAACTTAATTCTGATACTGTGTGTATCAGTACAGTTTTCTGGACAAGGTACAGAAATGTGAGCTGGAGAAAATGTAACTCAAGGGTGCTGATTAATGGAACATTGCTAACCTGTAGGGAGATCTTTTAGTGGTATTTACTTTAGGTCATATCCTCCTCAACAATTATAGCAATGACTTGGATAAAGCCAGAAGGCATGTTTCTCAGAACTGAGGATGACTCAGAACTGGGAAGCATAGCTAATACATTACATCCCAATAAAATTAAAAAGTGATGAACATAGGTTGTTGCATTTGGGTCAAGAAGTGAATTGCATGAGTATATAAAAATGGTAATAGCTAACATTTATTGAGTGCTTACCTCAATGTGCCAGGCTCATTTCAGAATGCCTCACATGTATTCTTTCATTTAATCCTCCCCACAACCCTATGAGGTAGGTATTGCCTTAGAGATGAGCAGACCAAGGTTCAAAGAGGATCAGTAATTTGCCCAGTGTCATGCAATTCATATGTTTCAGAGCCAGGATTTTAACCTAGAACTGTCTGATTTAAAGTTCGGGCAGTGCTGCTTTAAACAATAACATCTTTCATTATTTAGTGCTTTATGATGGTCCAGCCACAGTGTTAGGAACTTCCCATCCCATTTAATCACACACAGGCTTTCTTATCCCCTTTTAGGTTAGGGGAGAGTGGCCCATTTCTTGCCAAAAGATATCTAAGTTTTAGTTGACAGCAAGGCAGTGTGATCCAGTAGAACAAATGCAGCCCTGATCAGGGGAGGTGTGTGTCTGTGTGTGGTGGGGCGGGGGATGGTTCTATCAAAATGCACCGGCCAGGCAGCAGTGGCAGGCCGTGGGGGGGGTGGGGGGGGTGGGAGGGTGGAGGGGGGGTCAGGGATGGGGGTGGGGGAGCGTTGGAGGGGACATGATGGGGGGAGTGAAGGGTGGGGGTGTCTGCAGTCTAGGCCCAGGCATCCTGTTTTAAGAGATGCCGAGAAGAGAGGAGAGGGGTGGGAATCCAGCCAGAGAAGAAATGTTGAGTTTTCCCTAAGGAGGAAAACCGTAGACAAGGTGGTTCTGGGGTCAACCTTCCTTGAAGAGTTGGATCCGAGTTTAATTAACACGGAAGCTCTGAAGCCGTGAGCGGAGGTAGGGTGGGACGCAGCCGCCAGATGGATAAAGTAGGCTTCCTGTGCAGGTCAGCGACGGGCTCCCCTCACCCCTGGTGTCCCGCAGCCTCGGCGTCCGGCGGGGCCTGTCACCTACCAGGCGGGGCGTCGCCTGCTGCTGCAGATGCTCCATCGCCTCCTCGTGCTGCCGCTGGCGCTCGTTCTCCTCGTGCAGGTACCTGAGCCGCGTGAGCTCGAACTCCATGCGCGCCTTCTCCAGCTCCATCTCGGCGTTGCGCTCGCGCACTGCGGTCCCCGGCGCCGCCGTGGCTGGGACCGAGCGCAGCTCCGCGGGTTCGGGTCCATCGCCCGCCTGTCCTTTAGTGGCAGCGGGGCCAGCCCTGGAGGACAGTGACTTAGGTGGCCCCGGGCAGCCTCCGTCCTCACAAGTTTCCATCTCCTCCAGGTAGTCGTAGGAGGACTCTGGCTTCGGGGTGTCGGCCTCCTGGGGCTGGGGAGACGGAAATGAGGGGATGGGAGGAGTCAGTCTGGGGCGGCGCTGCCTCCCACCCCACGTGCACCCTCAGCCCCAAGCACAGTGCCCCGGGGGCGCTTCAAAGTGTGTTGTGAGCTGTAAGCATCCAGACTGAATTCTTAGGAGAAACTTAGAAGGAGTTATCAGGACCTTGGGAGTTAAGAAGATGGAGAGGGAAACTGACAGAGGAATGGCGCCCTAAATTTGCAAGTGGGTGTGGTGGAGTATTTGAGTAGAAGTCTGTCTTCCTGGTGATCTTCAAATCGCTGCTTGCAGGTGACTCACCCCACCCCCACAACTAGTTTGGGATCAGTTAGATACCCAGTCGTCTAGAGGTGACAGTGGTAGGAAGAAACCTAGGATCTGCATTGAGTACCTCTGTATACAAGGACCCGGATCCCCATCTGTAGGAGGAAGACAGCCACCCCCGCCCCCCACCCATGGAGAGGTAGATGTGTGTGTGCGTGTGAAAGTCGAGTCTGACTCTTTGGGACCCCATGGAATTCTCCAGGCCAGAATACTGGAGTGGGTAGCCTTTCCCTTTTCCAGGGGATCTTCCCAACCCAGGGATCGAACCCAGGTCTCCCACACTGGAGGCAGATTCTCTACCAGATGAGCCACCTGGGAAGTGGAGAGGTAGATGGGGGAGAGCAAAGGCAACCTCAGGTGGCTTCACAATCTTATGAAAGCTCCCTGGTCCCTGGACGCAGCCAGGCGCCAGTGTGGGGACGGGGTGCATGCCAGCCCTCTTAGCTGCTCTCTGGAATCTCCCAGCACTCAGCCCCTAGCTCGTGGTGTCCCCATTGTGCTCTTCCCCCCCTCACCAGGACGGGCTGGGGAAGTGGGAAGAGGCATCCTCCTCACCAACGAAGCCCTGGGCTTTCCTTCAGACATGGGGTCATCAGGCGCCATCTTGGGGAAGGTTGGGCAACTTTCTCCTGCCCCTCGGTCTTCCATCATTTCCCTATCCTCCGTTGCCATCCAGAAAACCACAACACTGCCAGTTGGGGCCAAAGGACATTTTTTGGGGCATTAACATTTGGCCTCACAAGATTCCACAGCCTGGCCGCCGTCACAATCGCCTGTCCTCATAGTAACACACATTCCACCAGTCGCTAGGGCCCCTTTGGCGGAAGGTGGGATACCTTTGAGATGCCTTTTAGGAAGAAATACAGGGTGGGCCTTCGGCACCCCTAGGGACCACTTTGAAAACTAGAATTCCCCCACTTGAAATCCAGAATTCCATCATTTGAAGTCTCTTCTCTTGAAGTTCCTCTTTTAAATGCAGGCTGCATTGAGATGAGTCACAATTAGCTCCACAAACCTTGTTATGGGCCGGAGTTTGTCCTCTCACCCCCCACATTCATATGTTGAAGTCCTAGCCCCCAGGACCTTGGAATGTGACTTCATGAAGAGATGAGGGTCTTTACAGAGGTGATTATGTTAAAATGAGGTCATTAGGGTGGGTCCTTATCCAGTGTGACTGAGGAAACGTAAACACAGATGTGCACCTGAGGAGATGATGTGAAGATGAGGGAGAAGATGGCCGTCTGAAGACCAAAGAGAGAGGTCTCATATCAGAGTTCTCCAGAGAATCAACAGGAGCCCCATCTTATACGTTCAAATAGAACTTATAAAGAAGGGGCTCAGGTGATTATGGAGCTGAGAAGTGGCATGATCTGCTGTCAGAAAGTGGGAGACTCTTTCTGAGTCTGAAGGCCTAGTAACCAGGAGTGCTGCTGGTATAAGTCCCGGTCATAGACTGATATCTCAGGCAGAGAGAGTCAGTTCAGCTTTCCTCTGCCTTTTCCTTCCATTCAGGCCTTCAAAGGATGAGATGATGCCCATCCACACTGAAACAGGGTAATATATCTATCCAGTCCGCCAATTCAAATACTGATCTTTTCTAGAAGCATCCTCACAGACATACTCAGATATAATGTCTAACCAGATATTTGGGCATCCCAGGGCCTAGTCAAGGTGACACAGAAAATTAACCATCAAAAGCCTGGGACAGATCCTTCCCTCACAGCCTTTAGCTGAAACCAACCCTGCTGACACCTTGACCTTGGCCATCTAGCTTCCAGAACTGTGAGAAGATAAACCACTGTCATTTAAGCTATCCAGTCTATGGTGCTTTGCTATGGCAGTCCTAGCAAACTGATACAACCTCGATTATTCCTTGAATGCATTGAATGGGAACAGTAGAGAGATTGGGTGCTGAGGAATAGTCTTTGTTGTCTTCAGTTTTGTGGAAATGACAAAAGACATTGCTGGTAGCTGGAGGCAGGGTTGCATATGGAGAGAGAAAGGGGTGCGTTTGAATTCTCGCTTTGCTACTGTTTCTAGCTGGATGTCCAAGGGAAAGTTATTTCACATCTCTGATGTTCCGTGTACTCATTTGTGGAGGGGAATAAGGATTTTCCCACTCGCCTGCCCTGTAGCTTTCCCAATGACTCAGCGGGCAAAGAACCTGCCTACAATGCAGGAGACGCAGGAGATGTGGGTTCGATTCCTGGGTCAGGAAGATCCCCTGGAGGAGGACACGGCAACCCACTGCAGTATTCTTGCCTGAAAAATCCCATGGACAGAGGAGCCTGGTGGGCTACAGTCCATGGGGTGCAAGAGTCAGACACGGACACCACCGAGCGACTAAGCCACTGTGCTGCCCTGTAGCACTGATGTGAAACTAAGCTACTGCCTTTGCCCGTTACCTGCCTGCACAGGGGCTGTGAAAATGATAACCACACCATCTCTATTACAAGAGGGCTTGTCACTGGAGAGAAGAAAGGGCTCAACAGCTACCTTCTTGAAAGGTGTTTTTTGGTCATGCCAGGCAGCTTGCAGTATCTTAGTTCCCCAACCAGGGATTGAACCCAGGCCACAACAGTGAAAGCCCCAAATACTAACCTCTAGGCCACCAGGGAACTCCCTGTTGCAAATCTTTATCTGAACCATGGCTTTCCTCTCCCAGAATTATGATGGTGACCATGAGAACTATCTCACAGTTATTGTGTAAGATGTTGATCCTGCTTCAAGCACTAGGAGTAGGATTGCCAGATAAATCTATTTAAGGATGTCCAGTTAAATTTGAATTTTAGATGAATAATTTTTAGTATAAATAAATTCTGAAACTTGCATGGGACATATTTATATTATTCTTTGTTGTTTATCTGAAATTCAAATTTATTGTAACTGGGGATCCTGTGTTTTCATTTGCTAAATCTGATGGTCTTAACTAGGAGAGACCTGCCCAGAGAAACAATTATGTATGACTAATGAGCTGCTATTAAAAATCACCAAGTACTCAAGTGTATAATAAGTGGTAAATGTAGTTGTATCAGTTATATATCAAACAACCATAAAATCTGAGTGATGTAACAACAATAAACGTTTATTTAACTCAGACATCTAAGAGTTGACTGATCTAGGCTAGGCTCCTCTGGGGGTTTGGTCAAGGCAGCTTCTTCCTCTTCTTGGGGCTAGTGGGCTGGCCTTGGCATGCTCTTTTCATGGCAATGGGAGAAGCACAAGAGGTCTTGGAATTGGCATACCATCACTTCCATCTTATGCTATTGGCTTTGGCTTTGACCAAACTCAAAGTTGAATGATGGGGAAATGTACTCCATCCTTTTAGTGGGAAGAACTGTGAAGACACAGTAAAAAAAAGTGTCGATATGAGGCAGGAAGAAGAGTTGGGGCCCATAAAGCAATCTCTTGTAGTCAAGAAGGTTGGTGCTGCTCTGATTGGAGCAGCTGGGGAAGGTTTGATGGAAGAGGTGACATGAAGGGCAGGTGGGATTTGGGCGAGAGGATCAGCATGAGCAAAGTCTTGGCTGATAATTATTATCGATTTGTCTTTCCATTTCTGCTCTCTGCCCTTCCCCATCCTGCCCTTTCCCTAGGAGGTTGTCCTCCATGAAACTGCATGAATTCATTAAGGAAAGCAGTATATTCCAAGCAAGCCAGATGCACTCTCATTTCCCCTGTCCCAAGGTAAGAACTGCATATACCTGTCCTTGGGGGACTCTATAGGAAGCTGGGGAGATAGCTCTCATGAGCCTTGGGTTGGTCTGGCACTTCTTCACCATGAAAAGAATCTCCCCTCCTCCACTGAGCCCAGAGAAAGGAGGCTATAGTAAAGCCTCTTGAGGGAATGAGGAGACAGGATCACATGGGCGCCCCCGGGGACTGTGCTGCCTTCAGCAGCCAGCACTGGTGCGCCTTCGTGTGCTTGGTCATTGTTACTTGGCTGGCTCTGGTGTTTCTGCTTCTCTGTGTCCTCTCACTTTAATCAACACCCTTTCTCACTTTTTTCCCTATCTCATAGCTCTAATGTATGTAAGGTTTCTGCTTCCTCCCAATTGCAGCATATTGTAACCTGAGCTTCTAAAAACCCTTCACAGCCCTGACAGCATGACCTCTCTCTATGCCTTCAGTGTTGTGTTTGTCTTAACTGTCTTAGTCATCATGATTTCCTAGTTGACTTTCCCAAGAGCAGGAATCAGAATGACCTACTTTGTCTCTATGTGGGCAGAGCTTCCCATTCTAGTTGCTGGGCAGCCCGTAGATTGGAAAGGTGTCCAGCCCGGCTGGGTGGGCAGTGGAAAAGTGGAGGGATGGGGAGGCAGGGCCATACAGAACAGTGTGCAGCAGCCTTGGGTGGTTCCTAAGCAGGAGCTGAGGGTGGTGGTGGGGGGGGTCAGCTTCCCTTAGAAGGGCCACTGGGTGCAGCAGGCACCATGCCGAAAGTGGGTGGACAGATTCCTATAGTAAAGTGTCAATTGTTTTGGCAAATAACCCGATGAGAGATGTGTATGTATATTAGCATGGCACTCACAAACTTCCATGCCCATTATCTCATTTGATTCTCAGAATGCCTGATGAGGCCATTTAAAGCAGGTGTAATTATTGCTTCCTGACAAGCAAGGATCCTGAGTCACACAGAGAGATGAAGTGATCAGTGTCCGAGTGCAGAGGATGTTAGTGGTTGAGCTAAGGCTGGAAGGCGGGCTTCCCGTCTCCTTCCCTGATGTGTTTACACTAGACCACTGGATGGTCTTTAGGGCTCCAACTCTGAGAGCTAAGACAATTTTCTACTTCAAATGAAAGAAAGACAGGTGTACACGGATGTGTATTACACATTGCTTATAATAGCAAAAGACCAGAAAAAAGTTAAATTTCCACTAGAAGCAATCTGGTTAGTGCTGTATCCATATCAAGAGTACTATGCAAATTTTTAAAAGAATAAAGAAAAAAATAACAAATAAGGTAGATGCATTCGTGCAATTATGGAATGCTCTCCAAGATATGTTACTCGGTGGAAAAGCAAAAGCAGTGCTTTCCTGTATATTAAAAATAGGAAAACATATTATACTGGTATATGCCTAGAATATGCCTGTAAAACCATAAAAGAAACTGGTTCCTGATGGCTGTGCCTGAGGTGGGAGGATAGGGGGAACGAGGGTTTGGGGTAGGACAGAGATATTCCTAACTGTATAGCGTTTTGTAAAAAGCAATGTGCATATATTATGTTTTCAGTTAAAATTTTAAAAAAGTGTGTGGAAGAGAGAGGTTTGCTCAGTATGGGTCAAAGGAAGTTTAGGCTGTGTAATCTAGTTGAAGACAGGTAGGCATCTTTAAGCCACGGGGTCATACCCACCCCACATGCCATCCCCCCACCTCTGTGCCCCCTCTCCCATCTGGGGTTGCCTTTACGTTCATTGGGGACAGATGTCCAACTGCCAACATGTCCTCTTCCCTTTCTGGCTGCCTCAGCTGCAGACTGCTGGGATTTTGAGACATTTCACCTCAGGTGTGCTACAGCGTTTAGGTGATTGTATGAGTTTGAGTAAGCTCCAGGAGTTGGTGATGGACAGGGAAGCCTGGCATGCTGCAGTCCATGGGGGTCTCAAAGAGTCGGACATGACTGAGCTACTGAACTGACTGAACAGTAACACCAACAATAGTTTACAATGATC